AAACACGGCCGGGAGTTTGGGGCAGTGCTACTAATGAGATACGCCCGAAGTGCTGAAATGGGCGTGCCACTTTCGATTCGTGAAGGGGGCTGGGGGCTGGTGGGGGGGGGGGTGAATTGATGTATCTTTCTTGTATGAGTTTATAGGAGTTTGGTCTCTCCGTCTGGCACTGTTTGTGAGTTGAATATTCATTGGTGTGTTGAGTGGCTTGACATGGGAAAGGTGGTTTGGAGTAAAAGCTATTTCACTATTTCGTTCGTTCACTCTCTTTCTCTCTGTTTATCTATCTATCCACCTGTCTCTTTATCAATCTAACTATATCTGTCTATCTATCTATCTTTCTATCTATCAATCTATAAATCTATTTTATGCCTATCTGTCCGCCTGTATATCTATTCATCTATATATCTGCTTACGTGTCTCTGTCAGTCTATCCGTCTCTATTTGCCTAGCTTTACCCTCTCTCTCTCTCTCTTCTCTCTCTCTCTCTCTTCTCTCTCTCTCTCTCTCTCTCTCTCTCTCTCTCTCTCTCCTCTCTCTCGCACACACAACACACACACCACACACACACACACACACACACACACACACACACACACACACACACATATATATATATATATATATATATATATATATATATATATATATATATATATATATATATATATATAATATATACACCTGTATGTATGTATATGTACACACTCGTACATATACCATATACACAGTTACGTATACAATTACCCTAAAACGCACACATCTTCAGCCTCCGAACGACAGAATCCAAAGTGCCCAAAAGGCCGCACATTATTCCTCCTCGACATCTTAATATGGCACCCCCACGTCAGGCACTGTCAGCCCTTGCGAAGAGTGCCACAGGATGCCTTACCAGCGGCTCCAGGATATTTCGGGCGGGGGGGGGGGCGTGGATGAAGGAGAGGTGGGGGGATACGGCGAGGGAACTTGGCGAAAGGGGAATACTGAAGAAAGTTGTTTAGAGTTGTGTTTGAAGGAAAGGGATGTTGCTATTCTTAATGAGGTTCGTAATTGTAGGTCTATTAAAATTAAATCATGAGAATTGATGAAACAAACATTTTCACAATTTGTAACACCGACGACGCGTCAAAAAAAAAAAAAAAAAAAAAAAAAAAGAAAAAAAAAAACGTAATATTGAATGAAGTTGAAATGCGTCTTGAAGGACCCCCCCCCCTTCCCCCCACCTACCTACCTCCACCCCCCCCTCCTCCCCACGCCCTCAGTGCCGCCAACAGAGTATCACGGAAAGTTCTCGGCCATTCACCCTCGCGAAATCCCGAAGAGAAATAGCATGACAGCCCGTGGAAGCTCTCCAAGAGGGACAGGTCCTTGAAATAGATCACGCGAAATCAACAGGGGTAAGACGGAGGGGGAAAGAGGACAGGCGAAGGAAAAGGAATAAGAGGAAAGAGAAGAGGAAGAGAAGAAAGCAAGGGAGAGGAAAGGAAGAGAAGAAAACAAAAAGGAAAAGAAGAGAAGAAAACAAAGGAGAAAGAAGAGAAGAAAACAAAGGAGAGGAAAGAAGAGAGAAAACAAGGGAAGACAAGGGAGAAAGGAAAGAAGAAAGAAAAAGGTGGAAAGGAAGAGAAGAAAACAAGGAGAGGAAGGAAGAGAAAGAAAACAAGGGAGAGGAAAAGAAAAAAAAAGGAGAGATAAGGGAGAGGAAAGGAAGAGAAGATGGGAAAGGAAGGTAAAAAGGGGAAACGAAGGGAGAAGGAAATTAGAAGGGTCTTCCGGTAAGGAGAGGAGGAACAGAGAGAAAAAAAGTGATAAAAAAGGGGGAAGATGAGATAGATTAGAGGAGGAAAAAAAAAAAAAGAGGAACATTAAATATATTACCTGAAAGAAAAAAAAGGGAAAAAAACTATTTGTATTTCACGAAAGAAAATGAAACGAGAAAACCATATACATTAAATGAAATAAAATAAAAGTAGATAGAAAAAAATAAACCAAACATATTATAAAAAAAAAAAAATAGATAGTCAAAGGAAAGACTAGACACATTACAACAAAGAAAAAAAGAGTAAGACATATCATAAACAAGAGCGCAAAAACTCCAGACATGTTCCCGACCCGTCACCGATACCCAAGTGAGCGCAGTGTTGGTCTCGCTCGCACTGGAGGAGTTTGTTTACACTGAAGTCCTGACTCATTTATCCTGTCACGTCCTGACTGGTGAAGGACTTTTCCACGCCCATTGCACAGACGGACGCCTCGGGGGAGTCCTAGGCGGCAGGGAGGCGGAAGTTGAGGGGGAGGTACGGTGGGAGAGGGAGAGAGGGAGAAATAGTTGGAGAGAGGGGGATATGATGAGAAAGAGAGTTAGAGAGATAGATAGAGATTGAGAGAGACAAAAAGACACACACACACACGCACGCACACATACACACACAAACGCAACAACACACACACACACAACACACCACACACACACACCACACAACCACACACACACAAACAT